CACTCATTTATTTAAGCTATATACTACGTATTCCTTTCTTCCGCTAATAAATAAGTTAGTCATCTTTGACTTTTCCATTTAAATACTTTGATTAATAATACGGAGTATATGTTTATAGATACAAAAAATATTTATAATATGAAAGTCACAAAGGCAACAAAAATATTATTAAAAAAACTACGGAGTATTATAAAATTATAATCCCTCTGTCCTAAATTAATTTACAAAATTAATATTTATTGGTCAACCATTAAAGTTAAATCCTCCCTATTGATAATTAATTCAACTTTTAATAATTAAAATTTACATATTCAGAAACTAAATTAAAGTCTCTATAAAGTTCAAGCTCCAATTTGAAATTCTCTATTAAATATCTAAAAAGTTAAAAATTGGAATTCTAAATTCTAATTAAGTAAATAAAATGAAATTGTTGACCCCAAAAAGTTGATTTTGCAAATAAACTTGTGAGAAAGTTAGTAACATCTATAATTTTCACTGATATATACAGAGTAGATCTTAAAACGATTAATCAAAGTTGACCATTAGCTAACAAAATTGGGATATGATGGAGGTATTTATTTAGTCCGTAAGTTTTAAGCAAATTAAATCATTTAATTTGAATTACTACAGTACGTACTTGTTGTTACAATCGGTGATCGGACTGATTCTGTAAGGAGCGCGGGCTGCGCAATAACGGGGAAGACCGGCGGCAGCGCCTGGATTAAGACCGGAGACTCCACCGGCGAGTTTTTGCAGGCAAGCGCAAACTGCCGCCTGCTGGTCAGGGCTTGTTAACGTTTTAGCGAGACTATTAACGCCGCCGCAGCAAGCGGCCGGGGCGGGTGCCGCCGGGTTCTTCAAGTAAAAGAGGCAAGGGCTCACGGCGTTCGTCACCTGATCGCAAGTGATGCCGGCGGCCTCTGCATGGGGACCGCCCACCCCCACCATGCACAGCACGGCGAAGCAGAAAAACTTGACCATCTCCGACGACCTTGCCACCGCCATTGTAATACTAAAGCTGAATCTGAAGAAGGGCTAGTTCGGAGATCGATTAAGGAAATTAAGGGAAGAGTGCTTATTTAATATGATGGCCGGAGTTGATAGCAAGGTTTTAGTTTTATAGGCCTGGCCGGGGAGATCGAAAGAAAGGTTCATTTGAATATTTGATGATTAGTACGTTCTGGGAAGTGAGGTGTGAAGGATGGAAATAACCTGAAAAGTGATTGATTGATCTTTCATTTGATCAAAAAAGGAAAGTGAAACACAAACTATTTGATCAAAATGAAAAGTAATTAAACACATTATTTTGTACTCCATTTTCTTTCATTTGACACCAACATGTTTAAAGTTTTTAAAATATGAAATTTCATACGATGATATTTTTTATCCATTTTAAAATAGATTCAAGTGTTAAAATTAAGATTTCACGGTCAATTTTTATTTATTTATATGTTCCAGTTATTTTTTTAAGAACTTCTAAAGTAATGAAAAAATAATTCAAAATTTATTTTTTTTACATCAGAATGCTTGAACTTTTAAATCATAATTATACACAAAAAATACTGACAAAAAATGAGGTATAATGATAAAAGGGGACGTACGTTTTAATCAAAAAGTATTGCAGAAATGGCAGAATAGATATATTTACGGTGTTGAATAGTTGAATTACAAAAAAAAATGAATTAGATGACTAAATAAGTATAAATTGGTAGAAAATTTTATTTATTTATGGTGAATGTTCTGTTACTCTAATGCAATAATACCTATAACTAAAATGAAAGCAAATAAGCAATAGTTCACTACTAGTCCACCACGGTTGAATTTTCCACTAGCCAAGGAGAGCTGAAAAGTGCCCTTCTGCTGACTGAATTTGAGCGATTAATTTATGAATGGGGTCGACTCGCCTCTTTTGCTCCCAAAGTAGAAAAGTCAGCGGCGGCCAAACAGCAGTTAATTAAGAATATGTTACAACTAGCAAAGCGGATTTAATTAATTTATATACGCAATTGTCTATTTTTCTGATCAAAGATTTCTATAGATTTTTTTGTTAATAAATACTTAATTACTTATTTCCGGTTTATACTTATTTACTCCTATTTGAGTAAGTTTTTATAAACTTATACTAGTAATAGACTAATTAAATAAGTCTGATCTTATTTGGGGATAAAATATGTCTCTTTTAAACTTTGTGCATATTTCTCAATTGAGCAATTCTAACATATCAAAGGTCAGTTCGTTGTTAACGGCTCAGTCGGCGGCAATGAAGTCCGACTGTCCGACGACAACGGCAAACTCCGACAATGGTGGCAAAATTCTTACATATTGGCGGCGGCAGTCTAAGAGGAAATTCCAGCTAGCAAAGTAGCGGTACTGATCTAAAAGTTTTAAAAAAATCTCCATTAATTTATGCAAATGAAAAGAATTCTTCATAAAACTTCTACGAATTTAAAAGTTCGTGGATTAAAACATAATCACCATAATATGGTTTAGTTTATAAAATCACGTCCGTATGTGAGTGTACAAATGATATCTTCAAAAATGATTACATACATATTTAATTCCTGGATAATACAAATTGATGGTATCATGGATTAAGACCATGGTCCAATTACGTAGTCCAGCCTATAAACGGGATCGGCCCTCAACGGGACCAGCCTAATTACAGGATTAGCTCATAAACAGGATCGGCCCTCAACGGGACCAGTCTAATTACAGGATTAGCCCATAAACGGGATTGGCCCTCAACGGGACCAGCCTAATTACAGGATTAGCCCATAAACGGGATTCATGGTTGAAAGCCGCTTAGCTAATTAGGAATGAGGCCCACGATAGGAACCTCCTAGAAGTGTCAAAGAGGTTTAGGTTTTGACCGGAATGCTGGCAGCCCTTGGAAGATTCTTATCCAGGTCGGCGGAACGATCCCTGCCTTTCTTCCAAATCTTGAAGAAAAGCAATGGATTCCAGTGGACCCCGGAATGCCAAACTGCATTTGAAGACCTGAAGGCGTATCTCCAATCGGACCTTCTGCTCAGCAAGCTAGAGGCCGGCGAAAGCCTCACACTCTACCTAGGGGTAACACAAAGTGCCATCAGCTCCGTATTAGTGCGTGAAGAAGGAACGATGCAAAAACCGTTTTACTACATCAGCAAAGTCCTTCATGGGGCTGAGCTCACATATCCAGCCCTGGAGAAAACCGCACTAGTAGTATACACGGGGGCCAAGAAATTGACACACTACTTCCAGGCTCATCCAATCAAAGTATTGTCAGATCTGGGAGTAGGCACTTTGCTCAGAACGGCTAAAACGGCCAGGGTTGTAAAATGGTCCCTGCTAATCAGCCAGTATCAAGTAAGCTTCCAACCTAGATCTTCAATCAAAGGCCAGGCCTTGGCGGACTTCCTAGTCGAATGTACTGCCCGAGACCTGGCTGAAGAAAAAAGGCACGAAGAAGAAGATTGGTGGACCCTCATGACCGATGGATCATCATCAGGGTCCAAAGGTTGCGGAGGAGGGGTGGTCCTCATCACCCCCGAACGCTTCAAAACGTACCATGCCCTCAGAAACAAATTTAACCTCTCTAACAATGAAGCTGAGTACGAGGCTCTACTGTCAGGCCTCAAGATAGCAATCCACTTCAAAGTACAAAAGCTGAGGGTCAAAAGTGACTCTAAGTTGGTTATCAAACAACTTAGAGGGGAGTACGAAGCCAAAGAGGAACGAATGCAGAAATACAGGGATACAACCCTGGAACTCGTCAAGAATTTTGAGGAGTCAGATCTCATATGTGTTCCCCGAGCCCAGAATAGCGAGGCACATATTCTATCAAAGCTGACTGAAGGCGCACCAGAACACCTCATGCGCATAACCTGAATACATGAGCTAGACAGACGTAGCATCGAGGTCACCAAGGACCTTGAGGTTTTCTCGGCCGAACAAAAGCCAAAATCCTGGGTTGAGGAATTGATAGAATACAAAGAGGACGGAACGTTGCCTTCCCACTTTTTTGTACGCACAAATGCATAATAATGATGAGAAAATTCTCTAAAGGGACTAAAACAACAAATAATTATATATTTATGACTAAAATAAAGATTAGTTACAAAAATGTGACTAGTGACTAAAGTAGTAAAAAAATCATAGTAAATTATGTTCAATTTTTAAATTTAAGTTACCATGACACTACATTGTAATAACTATTGATCATATTTGTGTAAATAAATTTAACAACAATAATAATTTTGAAATAAACCCAAATAATGATAAAGTTCACTTATAAGACCATCATTTTTTATTTTCAAAACAGGACTCGTTCACTCCTAATTTAGGAATTTTTAATCAACTTTTTCTTTTAATATGACTAAATAAGTCCTATAAAGGGAATAAAACATATTTAGTTCCATATTTTCACTTTAACTATGTTCTGGTCCTAATTTGAGCAATACCTAATAATTACATACTGATCTTACCGGTGTGAATTTCTAAAAAGGGAAATGTATGTACAAATATACCTTTGATTTTCAAAAGATAGAAAAAGAAAGAGATTTTTCCTAAAATATTACTAATACAGAAGTCATGGACAAAAATGTGACCTGGTAACTTTTAGTGACTACAATTGTGTTTAAAGTTTACATCATTCACTACACCATAGTAACTTTGAACAGAATTGTAATCACTAAAAGTTATCAAGTCATGTTTCTGTCCATCACTTTTCGAGGGATAATATTAGTGCAATTTTTTCTAAAAGGAATAATAAAATATTACTCCTATAAATCAACACTTAATTTATATTACTAAGACTAGTGATACGAAAACGTCCAGCATCTATCCAATTACTAGAAAAAAGATTAATCTTTCACACAAATGAATTCATAGCTTGATTAACATTTATAATTAAGAAATAAAATAAAATAAGAGACCTTCTAAATACAGCCCTTAGGGATTTTTAAGTTCAAGTCTCACTACACTAGAAGAGAGTTCATAATATTCATAATTAGCTCACTAAACCGTCAAAGAATATTTTTATGAGGTAATTCCCTGAATAGGACCAAGTCAATGTTCAAATGCACAAATAGGACTCTCATATTTTATAGGACCAAAAACCAACTGATTAGACAAAATTGCCCTTAATGAAATTAAGGGCTAAATAAATAAAAAACGCTTCCAGTATCCGACCTTCTGCACATGACCTTCTGCACATAGCCGATGCACATAGCCTGAAATCCAAACCACCGACACCTTCAACATCCTACCTTCTCCGCACGGCCGCCGCAGCTGTCGAGGCCGCCACCGCCGCTGTCGAGACCGCCGCAGCTGCCAAGTGAGACCGCCGCAGCTGAGATTGCCGTTGCACACCTCCGGAGAGGCAACTTACCCTTTTCTGCAGCGTGAATGGAGCCATAGCTGAATTCTTCTTCTTCTTAATCATGTTTACCTCCTATGGAGTATATAGTATCAATTTCAGACAAACTTGAAATTATGATAAAAAATAATGACAAAAAAATGGCATTTCTAGATGTAAACATATGGAATTTTCAGATTATAAATTATGGTATTTTCACATTTTAGAGTTGAAATGTGAAATAGGAGATGAAAAATGAAGAAGCAATGTTGTGCACAAAATCAATTTAATGCCTAAAAATGCCAAAATTTGTGAAAATGTCAAAAAATTGGCATTTCCAAAGATGCAATATTTCCATCTCCTTAAAAAAAATGCCATAAATGTGGCATTTCGTATAAGCTGCTAAAGATACACCATAATAAAACTTAGATCTGGATTTTTTTGAACAAGAGCCTCAAAATTTTATACCCAAATGTTTTGAATTCAAAAGTTTCAAACCAAAAATAAAATTTCCCTTCAGAATCGGAAAAAATTTAAATAAATTAACAGAAAATAATAATAAATGTAAGATGAACAAAGAATAGAGGAGGAGGAGGAGGAGGAGGAGGAGGAGGAGAAACGAGAAGGCCGGAGAAGAGAAGAAGGAGAAGAAAGGAAGAGATAGAGAAGGAGGAGGGAATTACCTGTACCCAAGTTGGTTGGAGCGATGCGTTGAAAAGAGTCTCTATGCCATGGGAGATGCCGATCGAGAAGTAAGGTGCAGAGAAGAAGAAGCCGATCGAGAAATAAGGTGCAGAGAAGAAGAAGCCGATCGAGAAATAAGATGCAGAAGATGGACACATAGGTTTTATTAAAGCAGGGGTAAATTGGGAATAAGGAGTCCTATTTAGGAATAATAAAACGTTAACTCCCATTTAGGTGTTTTGATCATAATTTGGTCCTATTTAGGAGTAAAATTTCTATTTTTATTCATCGGCATTTTAGCAAAAAACTCAAAGCACTACATTAGACGATCCAATAGTGAATGTCACTTAAAATTTTATAATGTATTTTATCATCATTAATGCTTAATGTAGACCGAAGAACTATGGTTAGCATTTTCCATAAAGTAATACATATATAATAAATGAATTATATGGGAGACAAACTGATGTATGTCCCTCTTGGAAGATGCTCGACCAAAATGGTAGGGAATAGGAATGTACCGGGTTAATGCAATGCTCATTGTCTCATGGTCATCATAGTGCCCGCTTTTTTTTTCTATTGATAACTTATTATAAATATAAAACGACTTTGGAAAAAAATTCTTCACTATCTCATGCAGTATACAGTTTTCTTAGTTTACCTTGCAGTTTTTTTTATGATTTGAGGCTTACCTTAGTGCTCTTTTCCATCATTTGCAATGGAGCCAAAGACTCACTCTTTTTTGGCTTGGGAATATGATGGAATAAAGCAAAATAACTTACTAAATTGGTTGCGTTTCTTTGTTATGAAGCATCAGTCAGTCCATGCAATTTTTGACACAACTTTCACTATGGGTCATCCAAAAACAGTCTCTCTGTACTTAGTACAGAGGTAAGACTACTGCGTACACCCGACCCCCTTACTCCACCTTAGGTGGGAATCTTTGCAGCACTGAGGTTTATATAAGTGTTTGATATAGTTGATTTTATGAGAATTTATATGTTGGGCATATAGTCAAAAACAATTAAATGATGATAAACAACTTGCTAAGAGCATCTCTAATGCTAAAATGTTAACGGTGATGCATATGTGACATGAGAAATAATCAATTAAAAAACAATATATATTTCGTGTTTATCTCTCTCATACCACATGTTCGTGCACATTATAGTATTGGAGATGCTCTATGGAAATGAAATATGCATGACCCTCGACGTGGGGGTCACTGGGTCAGTATGGAAGTGAACACTTTTATGAACATATCCCTTTCCCCAATGCAGCAAATTTGAGGTTTCTATTCCAAGTGATCTTATATGTCACATTTTTTCTTAGCTTCTTCACCAAGTGATAGAACCAAACAATTATTAAAGTTGGTTTTTATTTATCTTTGCACAATTGTTTTAATAAATATGCCCATTATCTTGATCGATATGCGGACGTTACAAATACAGGGAAGCTACATAAATCATTAATGGACCTTAAAGTTCAAGGAAAAAGATTAGCGAGGAAACACATTTAGGGATGTATCTAATTAGTTGGGGGCTTATTTTATTACAAAAACAGAATATATTATATAGAGAAAGAGATGATCTGGTCAGTCCGAATTGACAGGAATTGCCGTCTGGACAAACTTGTTTGAGGACCTTTCATTTTCGATGAAATTTTGTAAGCGTGTTGTGCCTGAAGTGTACAACATCCACACAAAATTTTAACTAAAAATTCAATCCGGGTTATATAATTTGCGATAAATATAACTATACTTGTAATATAATTATAGTTATAATTGCAATATAATTATAGTTATAATGGGTCTAAACACTTGTTCATACCCGCCCGTAAGAGCTGGCCAATTGGTGCACTGGGCCGCCCCGCCCGGGAAAATATTAATTTTTTAAAAATTATCAAACCACTTGTGACACTTTCAAAATTATATCACAACATTTTAAAAATTGTTAATATGTTCAAATTGTTTTACTATTAAAGAACAATATAATTGGCACGGATACGTCAAATCCGTGCCAAATTTCTTGCAAGTCATTTTGTCACCAGCTATTTGACACGGAGCCGTGCCAAAGATATGTCATAATTTGTGCCAAACTCGATGAATATGTGCCACGTCTATGCCAATATCATTTTTTGTATTGTTTATAGGCCTCCAACCAGGTAGGCCTGGACTCGGGCCGGGCGGCCCGGCCCGGTTACTGTTTGAACCAACCCAGCCTGGGAACCGGTCGGGGGCGGTTCGGGTCGACCCGGCCCGGTAGTCCAGCGGTTCGGTCTCGGGCCCTTCAAATGGCGAACCGGCCCGGCCGGGCCGGGCCCGGTTCGGGCTTAACGGCTCTTTTTAAAAAAAAAAATTGGGGGGCATCTAGCCGTTGGGAGACCTCCCAAACGGATTTATAGCCGTTGGAGGGGGTGGGAGGGGGGGGTCCAGGGGTTTTGGGGGTGGGGCCAGCAGAGCCGGTCCTTCCCTTAGGCCAGTGAGGCTTGGGCCTCAGGGCCCCAAAAAAATTTAAAACTTAGGGGCCCAAAAATTTTAAAAACATTTATATTGTATGGGGATGTTTGGATCTGATTTTAAAACTGTTTTGGCTTCTTCAGGGAGTAGAAGCAGAAGTTGGATGCTTCTCATACAATCAGTTTTTTAGAAGTTGTGGGGACCAACTTCTGAAAACTTATTTTTATATATTATGCTTCTGCTTTAAAAAAGAAGCTGAATCAAAACCAGTTCCAAACAACCCCTATATGTACTAAAAACAAGCGGGACAACAGAGTTATCAATGAAGTAGTGAAGTACAAACATGAAGTCCCAAATTTGTCGATATGTTATTATTTCCAAAAATCTAGCTTTTAGTATGATTTGCTAATTTGATGAATTTTTGATTTGTAAATACCCAAATGAACTAACTTATTAACTTCTATTTTCTATAACTATTTGTTATACCTATTTACTAAATCTTATATTATTGGCTGGGATTTGAAGTATCTGCATAAACAAATGCTATTTAAAAATTAAAAGCAAGTTGATTCTTATTTGCCTTACAAACTAGTCAAGTAGGCTCATGCCTTGCAATTGATATTTTATATTTGAGAATTTAGATCTATTTTTTATTAAGATTATCGTGATAAAAATTGTGTAATTTTCAATCCAAAATTAATCAAAATTGTGATTTTTTATGTTATAAAGTAAGAATGTTATTTTAAGTATTGAGTTTTTTGTGATATTAATCCTCTATTTCTAAATATGTTGTATTACAAAACAAATACTATGTATAGGGCCCTTTTATGAAAGCTCGACTCAGGCCCTAATTTATGTAGGATCGGCACTGGGTGGGGGGTGGGGATAAAAAAAAAACTATTTATACTCCTATTTTCTATACATTTTTTACACCTCTTCTCCAACTCTTCCTACTCTCTAATTCTCTATTCCCTCATACTCTTAAATCTTAATCATCTCCATCTTCATCTTCTCCAAACCTCTCTACATATATATATATATATATATATATATATATATATATATATATATTATTTATATAATTATTATATCTACTTATATATTAATTATCTACTTATATACCTATATTATATTACTAATATTTATTATCTACTTTGATATCTGCTTATCATCTATACTTATTGTTATTTACTTATATATTAAATTATTAATTATCTACTTTACATACATATATTATATTACTTATATTCTTTATCTACTTAATCTCTACCTATTATCTACTTATATATATTAAAGTATTATATATAAGTGTATTACTCATCTTATAGTAATATACTTATATATTATATACTATAAACATTATATTATATATTGGTTATAAAATAATCTACTTATATACCTATATTATATTACTAATATTTATTATCTACTTAATATATACTTAAATTACTTATTATCTACTTATACATCTCCATCTTCATCTTCTCCAAACCTCTCTACATATATATATATTATTTATATAATTATTATATCTACTTATATATTAATTATCTACTTATATACCTATATTATATTACTAATATTTATTATCTACTTAATATATACTTATTATCCACTTATACATCTCCATCTTTTTAATATTTACTTTGTTATCTATATTTATTGTTATTTACTTATATATATTAAAGTATTATATATAAGTGTATTACTCATCTTATAGTAATATACTTATATATTATATACTATAAACATTATATTATATATTAGTTATACAATTATATTAGTTACACTTGAATTTGTAGTAATTAAATTCATCGTATTAGTTAATTTTTGCATTTTTCATTAAAGTATAAAACTAGTTAATTGTTACATTTTTCATTAAAGTATAAAACTAGTTAATTGTTACATTTTTCATTAAAGTATAAAACTAGTTAATTGTTACATTTTTCATTCAAGTATAAAACTAGTTAATTGTTACATTTTTCATTCAAGTATAAAACTAGTTAAATGTTACATTTTTCATTAAAGTATAAAACTAGTTAATTGTTACATTTTTCATTAAAGTATAAAACTAGTTAATTGTTACATTTTTCATTAAAGTATAAAACTAGTTAATTGTTACATTTTTTCATTAAAGTATAAAACTAGTTAATTGTTACATTTTTCATTAAAGTATAAAACTAGTTAATTGCTACATTTTTCATTCAAGTATAAAACTAGTTAATTGTTACATTTTTCGTTCAAGTATAAAACTAGTTAATTGTTACATTTTTCATTAAAGTATAAAACTAGTTAATTGTTACATTTTTCATTCAAGTATAAAACTAGTTAATTGCTACATTTTTCATTCAAGTATAAAACTAGTTAATTGTTACATTTTTCGTTCAAGTATAAAACTAGTTAATTGTTACATTTTTCATTAAAGTATAAAACTAGTTAATTGTTACATTTTTCATTCAAGTATAAAACTAGTTAATTATTAATTGTTGCATTAAAGTATAAACTAATAAAAGTAGTTAATTTTATGAGTCACATTTTATTATTACTATTGTACTCGTATTAAAACATTTGATATCATATAATATTGTTACATTTTAAAGATAGACCGTGTCAGACATTCTGTAGATGTGGGTAGTCTCCAACGCAACCGAAGGAAGGAGATTGTGACAAGTCATCCTAGTTTACGCAAAGGCAAAGGTAAAGGGCGGGCCGGGTCTTCTTCTCAAAGTCGAGAAGATTTTGATGACGGATACCAAAGGCGAGATGGGGATGTGATGTCCGACGAGCAACTGCAACAACTATTGGCGCAAAATGATGGTCGCTTTTTTCAACAACAAAACATCCCGGAGTCCATTGATGAAGAGGAGCTCGAAGATGACGATGCGGAGGAGGACGAGGGGGGCGACGGGACGCACGGCACCCCGGATGATTAGCAAGAGTTGGAGGATGAGGACGGTCCATCCCAAGTTGGTAAGAAATCTAAATCTCCTATTATAGAAAATAATTTTAGAAAGAGGAAAGACCCAAAAACCAATAAATGGTACGCAAGTTGCGATCATTGCAAGGAGTATAGCTTGGGAACTTCCGGCGGATATGGGAGCCTCAAAAGGCATCTTAAGTCCGTGCACTCTGTGGAGTATGCGAAAATAGACAAAGGGAAGGGGAAGCAAACTCAAATATCGAGGTTTGCAAATGACCAACCTTTTGGCAATTTCTCATACACTGATGCACAAAATTTGACTGGTATGGCTAACTTACTTGTTGAAGAAAATTTGCCTTATTTGTTTTCTGAAAGTCTTGCTTTTAAAGATTATGCACAAACTTGTTTAAATCCTCAATTTAGAAGGTATAGTCCCAAAACGGTCAAGAAAGAAATTATAAGGCTTTATCGTGCGGAAAAGGAAAGGTTACAAACTTTTTTTGCAAACTTTGACGGCCGTGTTACTATTTGTTCTGACATTTGGGAGGATACTTATCATAATTTACATTATTTGGGTCTGACTGCACATTTTATTGATAGTGATTGGAATTTGCATAAACATGTTCTTGGTTTTCGTGAATTTAATGATCGTTACACCGCTGAACATATTTATATTTTGATTGAACGTATTTTAACTGAGTATAATTTGATTGATAAGGTGTTTTCTATAGGTTTTGATAATGCTACTAATAATACTGCTGCTATACCTAGATTGTGTGAATTATGTGGTTTTAATACTTTATTGGGTAGATTTTTTTCATCAACGATGTGCATGTCATATTATAAATTTATGTGTGTAAGAAGGTATAAAAGCGTTAGAAGATGCTATGGAGGTAGTCAAGGGGGGATTAGACGTACTTGGGGCAATGGTCAACTTAAATTAAAATGGCAAAATTATTTGATTGAAAGAGGTGTGAAATATGTTGCTTTCCCTAAAGATTTGTCTATTCGGTGGAATAGTACTTATAAATTAATTAAAGTTCTTCTTAGATATAAAGAACATTTTCCTGCTTTTTTAAGACAATATAATAACTATATTTTAAACCCCGCTCACATCGACATTTGCGAAAAAATTTGTAATGTTTTGATATATTTTAATTATGCAACTGAAAGTTTTAGTCATGTTTATAAACCTAGCTCAAACGAATTTATTCGTGAAATTGTTAATCTCACCGGTGCTTTTAATGAATTTAAGAATGCCGCTTACGTGTGTTATTTTTGTGATTTTATGAAGGAAAAGTTTTTAAAATATTTTGCACATATTCCGCATATTTATAGTATTGCATTTATTCTCGATCCTCGTTATAGACTTGGTAATTTGCAAGAATGTTTGAAGTTCTATTATAATGCTTTTTTTGTCCATTTCCAACGTATGATGATAACGCCATAGATCCGCAAGTTGAATACGAGGTTAGTAATTTATTTTATGCCTTATTTAATGAGTTTCGTGCACAATATGGCAACGCGCCCCCTTCCCCGACACACTCATCTTCATCTAAAGGAAAATCACTTTTTAAATTTGCTTTTAGCAATCTTATGAAAAAATCTAAAACAACTCACACTACTGAACAAAGCGCACTTAATGAGATTTCTTTGTATATAAATTATGAGGTAGAATTTGACGGAAATGAGGAGTTTGACATTCTAAAGTGGTGGAAGTCAAAAGAAAGAATATTTCCGATTTTGGCACAGATGGCTAAGCAAGTGCTATCAATGCCGGTTTCAACAGTTGCCGTGGAACAAGAATTTAGTTCGGCCGGCAACGTTCTAACGGCATCTAGAACGAGTTTGAGCGCTGAGTCTCTTGAGACGCTTATATGCTACCACGATTGGTTGAAGGTCATACGTAGATGTCAAGAAGTTAGCATCACCCCCTCCCAAGACTTTATGAATGAATCAACAACCGATGGTGGCTCCTATGCCGGAGATTCCGATTAATTAGTATTTTACAGTTTATTATAAAATGTATTTCATGTTTTAATTTTTCCTTCAATTCTCCATTGTAATTTGTAAAGTTGTATTAAAAAGATAAAAACAAATATATAACCTAGGCTCGACCTGACCCGGCGGGTGACCCGGCCCGAACCGGAACCGGGCGAAGTACGGGCCGGTTCCAGGCCCCCCTTTATAGGACCGAAGCCCCGACCCGGGCCTAGGCCCGGCCCGGGCCCGGCCTGAACCGAATCCAACCCTACAACCAGGGATGGATCCAGGACTTCAAGTCAAGGAAAGCGGAAATTTTCGTCAGTGTAGGAGGTAAACAAAATAACTAGTGTAGAGGGGTGAAATTTATTATGGTAGTGTAGCAGGGAGAAATTTTTTCACTAGTGTAAGACTTTGCAGCTATTTTTATTCAAAAACAATTCATTAACACATTCATGATGACATTTAAATCTATATATGACATTCTAAGTCTAGACAATGGCAAAATAACTTTAACTTTATAATTGGAGTGATCTAGATAAAAGTATTGATACATTAAACCGTAAGAAATGAAAAATAAAAGGAAAATAATATAAAAATAAAAAAGATACTCCCTCCGTCCCATTTACCTGTCCTACTTTCTTTTTTGAGCTGTCCCAAAATAAGTGTCTACTTTCCTCTTTTGGAAAGAAATATGTGGTCTACACCATTTCACTTTATTATACTCAAACCTCAATCACAACTTTTACTTTTTCAACCACTTCATTAATAACTGTGTCAAGTCAAACTAAGACACATAAAATGGGACGGATGTAGTGTATAATATTTTATTAAAAGATAAAGATTTCATGGCGGATGAATTCTTCAGGTGATTTAGGTTTCTGCTTCTTCTTATCCTTCATCATCTGTAGAATTTCTCCCAAGACGAGTGATTGCTCCTCCAACTTTTGCTCCAATGAGCTCACTCGATCTTCCATGATATCCTTCAAATGAAGTAGCGTAATTTGTCTCTTTGCAGGTGCCAGATTCTTTGCAGACGAATTTCCGGATTGACAGGTTGCAGAATCTTCGCGCTCTGATACCAATAATACCGATCACAGGATTTAACTCTCAAAATAGAAAGGAGTAAATCGAGTTACACAGTATTGACCACAATATTAGAGTAGAAGAAGATAGTCAAAGAGATTAGAGAAGGGAAGTTTTATTGCCAAGTTCAAAATCTGTACAATTCGTAGCTATCTTTGTATTTATAGCTGAAGAGCTGATTAACAAACTAACTACAATGAACAGTATTATAGTATTATAACTGCTTCTAACAAACACCGTTAAGTAGTTAATCTATATCATTTTACCTTCCATCGCAATAACAACCAACTCCACTTTCTTTTCCGCCGCTACTTGATTCAGTGGGTAGAATCTTTCCACCTTAATAATCCAGTCATACGCTTCACTCCCGTTGAACACAAGAAGATCCATCTTTCTTCTGGTCCGTTCATACCTTGGATTCCTCATAAATTCTTGCCACGATGACGAGGCTAGGGAATCATGTGATTCAGGTCATGATCAAGAAGAATTACCACTTGCGTACTGCAAACGACGTCGAGATGTCTTGATCTCTCTCTCTCTCGATGACCTGCATATATAACTCAACCATCAAAAATTAAATAGATTGAATTTATATAGGAACTTGTTTACCAAACTTATTCATCACTCAGATAATTTTAAGAATTAGATTGACCGTAACAAATATCTTAAAATCAAGCTTTATAAGAGTCTACTTGTTAACAAAATCCGTGTTTATCTCATTGTATTGAACACGAAAGTTTGACTTTTGCAGCAAGTTGTTTTGCTATCGTGGCAAAACCATTGAGAGTTGGATAAAAATCAAATACAATAAAGAATTCAAACTATCCATTCAGGAAATTCTATAACATGTACATTAGAACAAAGAATTGGAGGGCCAATGAAAAGTGTCTTCATGTACGCAGTAACGGAAGGTTTATGCTTCAGAAGATATAGTTTGGTAAGTTAGTTGGGGGAAAGAAATAAATAAAAGGAGTAGTAGGTTATAATCTTTACAGAAGCATAGACCTTCCATTACTGCATACATGAAGACACTTTCAATAAACCCTCCCTGTTCCAATGTACATGTTGCAGGACTTCCTGAATGAATAGTTTAAATTCTTTATTGTATTTGATTTTTATCCAACTGTCAATGGTTTCAACCGCACGCTCGCAAAACAACTTGCTGCAAAAATCAAACTTCCTTGTTCAATACAATAACATAAACACGGATTTTGTTAAGAAGTAGGTTCTTGTAAAGTTTGGTTTTAAGATATTTGTTACAATCAATCTAATTCTTAAAAACTATCTGAGTGATGAATAAGTTTGGTAAAAAAGATCTTATATAATTCAACTTATTTAATTTTTGATATTTGAGTTACATACCGAGACAATACCGGTTCCGCGGGGCGTTCTCCTTTAAAACTTAGTCACCTGATTCCTATAATAAGAATATCAGAAGATGGATGTCATCCCAATCATCAAATTATATAAATGGCATTCAATAAGAAGCATTTCAAAAATCAATGACAGTTTAAAACAAATCACTAATAACAATACTATGCACCCAAGTTCAAGAAACCGTCGCCAGTGTACTTTTTGGTAAAAACAGTGTTCTGTAGATTACATTATAATAGGGTTTCCTCTATTCTACCACCATTTTTTCTTTCTTAGAAAGGCCTTTTTACGAATTGGCAAAAAAGTTTTTGCTGTTAAAAAGGTGTTTTCAAAGTTCTTGTCTGTGAGGCACTGAAAAATATATTGAGGTAGCATTAGATGTATGGGCAGTTTTTGTAAGGTTCAACTGTTCAAGCCTCAGGGCACATTTTGCAAGGCCAAAGGCTCATGCTTTAGAAACAGGTTCTTGAATGTGTAAGCAAATGATCAAACAGGTCTTTTTTGTGCAAGTGACCATCCTTTTCAATTAAGCAGGTGCCAAGAGAGACTTGGCAGTTAAAAGAAAGGGCTACAACATCTTTCTTGAGTGTTTCTTGAAGATGACCTTGAGCTTATGATTAGCAGCCTGCAGATTGTAACCAGAAACCTATCGTAACCGGCTGTCCTCTAGAGAACCCCATGAGAAGCTTCATCATCTCAACCGATGCTGGCCTCCTGTCGAAGGCACACCGAACTGCATCCACTACCGACACAGCCATCATTAAAAGGCAATAGCATAATTCATTTTATGATCATTCTCGGACTTGAGTCCATATATTCGATTGATCTCATCCTCACAAATCTCTGGCTGTGACCCAATGTAATTGTGAACTATGTTTTCATTGTTATTTTGCAGATGCGTTCTACATGCTCAACAACTGCCAATTCACATTGCATTAAACCCCACTCCCCAGCATCAATATCTTGGATATACATCAATCAATCGTCATTTACCCCAGTGCCACAAAGGCTCTCCCACCTACGGTGAGGTAAGGGGAGGTCGGATGTACGCAATCTTACCCCTGTACTAAAGCACAAAGAGACTGTTTCCGGATGACCCATAAATCTTGGATATACATATAAGGCTTTAAAATTTCTTGGTTTTTGATTAAATTAAAAGCACTAAAGCGAAATTGCCTATATCAACATTTATGTTCAGTTCTTCTCAGAGTCCTACTTTTAACCTCTCCAAACTCCTGCAAAAGCTTGAACACTTGGAGAGCACCGGAACTGCTAAGCTATTTGTACAGTCACAACAGAACAGAATATCTCCAATATTCTGCTAAGCTATTTGCAGATTTATTTGGTCCTATTAAAAGAATAAAAGACTAAAAACTTTCATAAGAGTGTATATGTTTTGACAATGCAACTCCTATTTGAGAAAATGTACAATGTCTTTCTCCTATTTAGGGAATCTTATCCGGCTTCCATTTACAAACTTTTAATGCAAGTAATATGTTTTTTTATTATAAATGACTTATATTATAATAATTTGATGTTAAAATTTGTTAATTAGACTGACAATCATGATTTCATCACTACCCTAGGATCAAACACAGTCACTACCACCCTTACAAATACAACTACTTACTAACCACTTGATTGCCATGTTAAAGCTAACCGTGAACCATCTAGTCCCTACACCACCCAAAGCTAACGTGAGACATAAATCTAACTAGAAACTAGCAATACGTCTTTCCAAAGTTTGACACAAATCAATCAATAATTAAACAATAATAAATACAAGAAGAAGTAAATAACTTAAAACAAAAACTAAAAACCGTTTGAGAAAGAGAATTGGACCTTTGGAACACCAAGGCGGGCTGTTGCATGGAGTTCATCCCTTCCATTGGGAAGGTGCTGTCTTTATGGGTCATTGGGTCCTCCGTTCAGATCCGAGAAAATGCTGTGGAAAAAACATGAAAGAAAACTGAGCAAACAGGAAGAAAATAAAATATAGTCGTAATTCAGTACATTTTTCTGATACTCATTTTATTTATTCATACCTATGATATGAAGAAAAAGTAATTCTAAAAAATACTATGTATATGTAAAAAAGAATATCAAACAAATAGTCATATTTCATTTCCATTTGCATTTCCTGAGGTAAAACCGTAAAACTAAAAAACATAAAAGAATTCTTTGTTTAGCAATTTCTTTCTTTACATGGCATTTTCTGGGATCCAAACAAACCCTATAACGATGAGAGAATACAATGCACACACACAGCTTACTTCAATTGAAACTCTTCCTTTTCTTCTGATGATGCCTACCACCAGAGAAAGAGCCAATGGTGAATGGTGTACATCAAATTAGACAGCTCAGGCGGAATGGAGGCTCCAGACGATTTCAGGGTATCAACCAAATCTGGAAAGAGATTCTTATTCTCCCCCATTAACAAATACGATTGATTCACCTTCCTCTCCCATTCTAGACGCACATACTCCTTAATGGAATTTGGCATGTCAAACACTATCACTTGTTTTACACTCAGCAGATCAACTCCTCTACCCAACACCCCAGTGGCAACCATAACAGGCACATCGCCTGCCAAAAACGACCTTAGAATCTCCCTCCTCTCCGTCATTGACTTCGATCTCACCATGAATGGAAAGAGCTTTCAGTCCTGTACATATTGGTATTGCCTCCGAAAGGAGATCTGCCCCAATTCTAGAACCAACAAATACTAAAATTGGTGGCTTAAAATGCCGCTTGCTCGTTAAAACATCAAAAGCTTTTGCTTCTTTTGTTTTGATTCCACCCAAATGGCAAGCTGCTTCACAGCCCCATTAGGCTTGTTCAGCTGCCTGACTGACAAAAAAGTCAAATGCTTTGCCATGGAGTTTCCCATTTTCTCCACCTCTCTCGCAATGGTAGCAGAATACATCAGTAGCTGAGGTTGAGACAGTGCCCTAAATATCTGCATTACTTGCTCACGGAATCCTCTTTGCAGCACAAAGTATACTTTCGTCAAGAACAAAAATGGAAACACTGTGTGTTAAGATCCTGTCTAATTCAATCTCATGATGCTTAATCAGAAGATCAATTAACCTACCAGGAGTACCAATAACCAATGAAACTCCTTTTTGAATACGATAGAGCTGCTGGGCCATTGCATCACCACTTACAGTCAATGCAGTGTTGAAAGGCATGCCCTTCCCCAACACCTTAGCTTGATCTTCTATTTGTATACAGAGCTCTCTTGTGGGCGCAAGAACCACACTATGGTTTCTGCTTCCTCTCATGACAAGCTAGATTCATTTTCACACAATTCGCAATGATAGGAATTAGAAACGAACCTGTTTTCCCGGAACCAGTCTCGGCAGGTACCAGCACGCTTTGACCGGATAAAGCAGCCGGGATGGCTTGCATTTGAACAGGTGGAATTTCATACCCTGCAACTTCTAAGTTATCAATAAGCTTTTGAGGAACATTGCATTGAGAAAACGATGTGAAGGGAGGTGGAACAAGGTCACCCTTCACGGAAATGTTGAGTTTTGTCCTCAACAACTCTGATTTACCAAGGTCCAGAGATTTCAAATCAGATTTAGTGCTACCATCCTTCACGGAAATGTTGAGTTTTGTCCTCAACAACTTTGATTTATCAAGGTCAGAGATTTCAAATCAGATTTAGTGCTACCATCCTTCACATAATAACACTCATCAGTACCTGGAAATTTTACTGGAGGAGTGCAAGGGGATGGTTCTCGAGATTCTTGTATCCGAGATAAAAAGAATTGATTTACATTCCAGACTACAAATGTCATCATCAGTTTCGTAGCATATGTATTCATCATAATGACCACATATAATACATTTTGGCTCATCTGGCAGCCCTTCCCTGTTCCAACCACCTCTTCTTCACGTCATTATCCAAATCTGAAGGTAAGATTGAAAAACTATTGTAATTATTCACGAACTGGGGAAATTTTCATAGGTACCACTCAGATTTAAAGGAATTTCTCTAAATGATCCTCTCAGTCATGATATGCGGACGGCGATGATGAGAAGTCAGTCCGAAGCCGGTCCGAATAATGATGACGAGGCGATGATAACCCGATCGTCATATAAAGGAGACGGTCACCATCCAATAGCGGAATGGCGAGCCCAATCGCTATAACGAGACACTAGGCGCTGGGGAGCCGGTCTTGAGATACATATGACGGCGTCAAGGAGGCCGATCAGAATAATGATGACGAGGCGAAGATGAGCCAATCATCATGTGAGGGCGACAATCACCATCCGGGAAGGGATGGCGAGCCAACTCGCTAGACCAAAACTTCGGCATTGAGGAGCAGGTCTTGATGATAAATAATCACGCCGAGCCGAGGGGCCGGTCGTGATATGTGGACGGCGATGATGATAAGTCGGTCCGAATAATGATGACGAGGCGATGATGAGTCGATCGTCATGTGAGGGCGACGGTCACCATCCGAGAAGGGATGGCGAGCCTAGTCGCTAGATCAAGACTTCGGCGTTGGGGAGCCAGTCTTGAGCTAAATGATCATGTCAAGGCCGAGAGGCCTGCCGTGATGCAAGGACATCAGCACGGGGGGGGCTAATCAAAAAGTCCACACAACGGTCCTCATACATGAAGTGGGGGGATGAGGTCAGTCTTGAAATAGATAATCATGACGTGCCGAAAGGCTAGTCGTAACGTGAGGATGTCGGCACTGAGGGACCGGTTCGAAAATCCATGCAACAGTCGCCATCCGGTAAAGAAATGGCTAAGATCGGTCTTGAGAATGATAATCACGACGTGCCGAAAGGCCGGTCGTGAAGTGAGGATGTCGGCACTAAGGGGTCGGTCCGAAAATCCATGCAACGGTCTCCATCTGGTAAAGGAATGGCTAAGACCGGTCTTGATGTAAATGATCACGTTGAGGCCGAGGGCCTACCGTGATGCAAGGAAATCGGCACCGAAGGGCCAGTCCAAAGATCCGGGCAACGATCGCCATCTAGAAAAGGAATGGCTAAGACTGGTATCGAGGAAAATGATCACGTTGAGGTCGAGGGCCTAACGTGATGCAAGGACGTCGGCACCGAAGGGTAGGTCCAAATATATGAGCAACGGTTGTCGTCCGGTAAAGGAATGGCTAAGACCGGTCTTGAGCAAGATAATCACGACGTGCCAAAAGACTGGTCGTGATATGGGGACGGCGATCATGAGGAGCCAATCCGAACAATGATGACGAGGTGATGATGAGCCGATCGTCACATGAGGGCGACGGTCGCTAGAGTGTTCCTGCCCAGAACTTCCTCCCACTATTTTATTATTATATAATATATGTATAGATATGAATATATATAAAACAGTGGACAAAATTACCTCTCGTCACATATCTTTTGGTTATTTTACCCTTCATGTCACCTACTAGACAGTAGGCTTCAAGATACATCCTGAGAACTCCAACATTCCAGAGAACTTGGTTCATGAGGACTAATCTCTCCATGCCACATGTTCTTCCCCAGGAGTTCATTATTGAGAGTATTATTTCTTTTTGGAATTCTCCCTCTCCAATCAACAACATAGCATGTATCTGTGAAATCTTCTTTTTGCATACTTCTTATTGGGTCCATATATATTCCCTAGTAAAAGAAAATGGAAAAATATTTAAACTTGCAGGTTATATTTAAATTCTCAAATCTAAGTTAGTGAGTTTATACTATAGTGTCATTGCCTCAGTATAGTCACACAAAGATTCGTGGTAATCCACCACTATAGCCACAAGCCCATTCTTGAGCTGTTTCATTACTAGATCTTATTCTGATATAAACTCATAATCGTTCATATGAATCTGAAAAAAGGAAATTTTCATAATAAAATCAAGAAAACTTAATATTTCGTTTAACAGAAAAGACATTACAGGGATGACAAATTTCTGGGCAATTTGAGAGTGCCAGAGCTCTCTAGGTTCAATAGTCTGTCCTTCCACTCTCCTCCCACCCTTTTTATTTCTTTCTCCCCCCAACTAACTTTCCACTTGTCTAACTAACTCTTTATTCTACTCCTTCGTGTATACACCCTGCCAAACTCTCTATTGGGAGTAATAAAAACAAGTACTCTGAATTATATCATTACTTCCCACTTCAAAAAACACCTTGCCCTCAAAGTGAATCTCAAGGAACTGCTTCTGAAAGTGTTGTAAGTCTTCCCAGGAATCTTCAACTGTCTCCGGTGAATTACAATCTCTTTCTTTCCTCCTGCATTTGTTCTGCATTGCAACACTTCTTCCGGTTGCACCTGTAGTTCCCATTCTTCATTCAAACAAGCTGGAAGAGGCTGACAAGGAATGTTGAGATTTATAGCCTTTTTCCACAATGTGAAAGACAGGGCCCACTTTACTGGTTTCTAGTAATTTCAACTTGTAAGCCACTGTATTGATTTTTTCAATCACCTCAAACGGCCTTGAGATACATTGATCACTGTCCATGAGCACATAACAGTATCCACTCACGTGATGAGAATGCATAACATGTGAGTGGCTCAATACTACATCTAATAATAATAATGAGAATAATAATAACAATAATAATAATATTAGAAGAGTTACAACCAAAAGTTAAGCTCAAGTCCGTTTGAGGTGATTGAAAAAATCAATACAGTAGCTTACAAGTTGAAATTACCATAAACCAGTAAAGTAGACCCTGTCTTTCACATTGTGAAAAAAGGCTATAAATCTCAACATTCCGTGTCAGCCTCTTCCAACTTGTTTGAATGAATGAGAACTGCATGTGCAACCAGAAGAAGTGTTGCAATGCAGAACAGATGCAGGAAGAAAGAGATTGTAATTCACTAGAGACAGTTGAAGATTCCTGAGAAGACTTACAACACTTTCAGAAGCAGTTCCTTGAGATTCCTGAGAAGACTTACAACACTTTCAGAAGCAGTTCCTTGAGATTCACCTTGAGGGCAAGGTATTTTTTGAAGTGGGAAATAATGATTTAATTAATTCATAGTACTTGTTTTTATTACATCCCAATAGAGAGTTTGGCAGGGTGTATACACGAAAGAGTAGAATAAAGAGTTAATTAGACAGGTGGGAACTGGGAAGTTAGTTGGTGGGAAAGAAATAAAAGGGGTGGAAGGACAGGCTGTTAGACAATTAGAACCTGGAGAGTTCTGGCACTGTCGAATTGCCCAGAAATTTGCAATCCCTATAATGTCTTTTCTGTTAAATGAAATTTCCAGTTTTCTTGATTTTATTCTGAAAATTTCCTTTTTTCAGAGTCATATGAACGACTATGAATTTATATCAGGACAAGATCTAGTAATGAAACGGCTCAAGTATGAACCTACTAACTGAGATTTGATAATTTAAATATAACTTGCAAGTTTAAATATTTTTCCATTTTCTTTTACTAGGGAATATATATGGACCCAATAGAAAGTATGCAAAAAGAAGATTTCATAGGACCATATCATGCTATGTTGTTGATCGGAGAGGGAGAATTCCAAAAAGAAAAAATACTTTCAATAATGAACTTCTGGTGAAGAGCATATGGCATGGAGAGATTTGTCCTCATGAACCAAGTTCTCGGGAACGTTGGAGTTCTCGGGATGTATCTCGAAGCCTACTGTCTAGTAGGTGACATGAAGTGTAAAATAACCAAAAGATATGTGACGAGAGGTAATTTTGTTTAATTTTGTCCACCGTTTTATATATTCACATATATATATATATATATATTATATAATAACAAGATAGTGGAAGGAAGTTTTGGGCAGGAACACTATAGCAATTTGGGCATATATTTATTTACTCTAAAATTTATTGATAGGGTTTAAGTCTTAAAAAAACATGTGTCGTTCGAATTGCACAAAAAAGTGAAAAAACAGCACATAATAATTACAGTGGATTCGTCGAACTTCACAATAAACATATACACCTATAAACATTCGTGCAAATATTTGGGTAGCTTTCCAACAATTAATGTATAATTAATGATTATCTATGATGTACTTGCTTTCAATTTAATATGGAGCAGTGGCATTCCATATTCATAGACATCCTACAGGAATATAATAATATAATTTTTGAGTTGTCCAGTAACATGTAGTGTGTACATATTACTCCGTATATAATGTTTTGAGTTGTGCGTTTAGTGGTATTTAATGACTGTCTTAAGTACATAGCGGTTAATATGGACACCCGATCGATTATATAACTAAGGCGTACTTAAGAGAGTAGATGGTATAGCCAGATTATGATTTAGATTTGGGGTGCTAATCTGTATATATTAGATGGTAGAGTGGTAGACACCCGACCGCCCCCTTGGACTTTTAAAATTTTATATTGTATACGAAGTATATAATATTGTAATAAATTTTATTACAATATTGTCCCGTCTCCCCCTTTTTTGGGTAGATTCGTGCCTCAGACGAGGGGTCATTTGCCGCGCCTCATCCCGTGGATTTTTTATTTTTATATTATTACTATTATTTTGCCCTCATTGGAAACGAGAGGATGTTTACCGCGCTTCGTCCCAAGGTGTCGTAGGCCATTTCGCTGACGGGGGTGTACACTTAAGGCGTCCCCGGCCTCACGGGCCGTTGGGGTCGGGCTTTCTGTGAGCACTACAGAGCCCCTCAGAATCACCTTAAAGTGTTTGGAGCCTTGCCGCACTTTCCCGATTATAATCGTGGGGGGGCGTTTCGCTCCTTTTGGGCCTTCGGCCATTTTGCGGGTCTTAGGTTCCAGATTAAGTGGTCATTTGGCTGCATTTTCCCGGATTGTATCCGTGGGGGACCAAGGTGACACACTTTTGTTTGTGTTTCTTTTTCAAACTTTAGAGATGTGCGGGAATCAATAATTCGATCTAGATACGTTGTCATTGCAACGGTTTTTGAAGCAAACCGGTCATTAAATAAAAATGAACGGAAGCTTAGCTTGCGACAATTTGAAGGCCATTGAGCGCACCCGGTTATCAAATAAAAGTGACTGGGGGTAGGTCGAGGGGCTCACCTATAACCCGAATCATCAAATAAAGATGTTTGGTGGATTAGGGTTCGGCTCGCACCACTTTGGAGGATTTTAACCCGCTAACAATAATGGTGGTGATAATCACAATAACATCAATAATAATGCATTTTTAGTAATCTCGGGGACTTTAACCCGCCATAATGGTGTTCACCACCTCGGGGATTTTAATCCGCCATAATGGTGGTGGCAATAATATACGGAGTAATAATAATAATAATAACAACAACAACAACAACAACAATAATAATATTTAATTAATTTAATGTGTAAATACGAGTATTGGATTTTTGGGTACTTAGCTTTTGGAGTTGAGCTGAAATTGGGCCTGTTGCTGAAATTTGGTGTGTTGAAATCCAGCCCTTCGAAAGAATTTGCACAAAGATGGTTCGGCCCATTGTTTTTCACTTAGCCCAAAATTCCCTTGACCTTTCATTTGTTATACGGCCATTCCTCTGCTTTACAGTCCTGGAGACCTGGAGATGTTCACGGTCAGACTCCACTGTGCCGGATATTGAGACCAAAGAGGGAGGTGGGCGTGCCCTCAAACTGAGCCTAGAGGAAAGGCGAGGCACACCGGTCGTGGTAGCTGTTGGAGAGGGAGTAGGGACCCTCGATGTCGCTGTTACTCAGCTCGTGAGCAGAGCTCTCAAACTGCCATTAATGGCGGAAGCTCACAGCGTGGTTAGGAAATCCCTTTACCGAGACCGCCGTTATTTAGCTTTGTGGATGCTCACGCGACTCGAGGCCGAGCTGCGACGGAGGTGAAGCAGCGAGCTGCTGCCGCGACTATAGATCTGCGTCGGTGGGGAGCCTCCCGTCAGAGGCGGCTTTGAGGCCAGTTCACCAAGGCAACTGCCTTGGCCTCACATGCCAAGGGGGCCTCCACAAACAAAATACTAAGTATTAGTATTAGCTAGGTATAAAATACGAACTAAACATCTGTTGAACTGGAACCTGCAAATCGGCAAGCTGCAAACTAGCGACCGGCTTCTTATTTGGATTGACCTGATTTTTGCTTTCCTCTGTACCTCTATTCTTCTTCCAAAGAAATACGGAGTATTTATTGATTTACAGCAATTGGCTGTAAATTGCGTTTTGGGCGTTTTGGGGATATGGGGTTTTAGAATTTGAGATTCGGTACTTCTCATTATTGCTAGGCCTGAGAAATACGGAGTACGAATAGACCGACTCATTAATTTTTTTCCTTGGCAAGAAGACCGACTCATTAATTAATCATTGTATATTTGTATGCACTTTTTAACAATTTTTTAGTTTTATGCTAAAAAAACAATTTTTAAGTTTTAACGTAATAATATTGGGTTATTTCAAAAAAAAAACGTATTAATATTGGGTAATTGTTTATTTGGTACAATGTCATTATTATTAGTAATTTATGTTTTGCACTAATATTTCATTATAGTAATTGGATTAGCCATTTAGTTATTTTGTCACTAATATTTTATAATTGTATATTGTAATTGACTAATAGTTAAATTTATTTATTTGTTATTGTTTTCTATTAATTATTATTTACAAATATATATACAAAAATATTTAAGTATTGGTGAGACGGGGAATTTTTGTCATTTATTGGTCCCCGAATATTGTGTCATTGAGAATTTTGATACTCGACTTTTTATTCAAATTTTAGTCTTTGATTATTGTGCTAGAGACATTTTTAGTCTTCGACTTCAAAATTTCTCACACTTAGTTTCGTAAGTATTATCAAATTGATACTTTTAGTCCTTCCACTATGATTTTGACATAAAAATGTAAGACTAAAAATGTCATTATTATAATAATTAAAGAACCAAAACTGTCACTTTTATGAAAGGCGATGGACTAAATATGGAAATTTTCAAAGAAAAGTACCAAATGTTTCTCTAGCGTAATAGTTAAGGACTAAAAGTGAAAAAAATCAAAGTCGAGTATCAAAAGTATCAATGACATAACAGTCGAAGGACTAAAAGTGATAAAAAAAAACCTTTGTAGTTACATTTTAAATATGGCTTTAATTATCACATTTTGTGTTTGTATTCATTTAACTTACTTTTAGGACAATGTCTTGTACGAAGTATTAAAAATAATTTTTGAATGTTCAACGTTTTTCGTCTGAGGCCTCCAAAATGCTAAGGCCGCCTCTGCCTCCAGTGTCACAACGAGATTCGGAGCAGATCTGGGGCAGGCGGAGAACTACGGCACACAGTGGAGGCTTGCACAACGATGACGATTCTGGCGGCTTTGCGACCTCAGGCTGCGACTGTCGAGCTACTATGGCCCCGGCGTGGCAGTCAGTGGCGTATCCACTATGGGGGCAGCGGGGGCAGCTGCCTCCACCCAACCCCAACCTAACCCCTATATATGTCCAAATTTTACAAGAAATGCTCAAAATAAGAGTTAAATGTGGGAAAAAAATTCTAAAATAGGATTAAAAGTGTTTTCTTTAATATTAAAAGAATTCTTTTGACAAAGAATTCTTACTTTCCTTTACTGCCCCATAAAGTGAGCATAAGATCTCATCTGCAAAAGCAAGGCATACTCTGCCCAGATAAAATAAAAAGGCCGAAGTACACATTGACCACACTAAGTTCTTCTCTTGCAAAACGTGCAAAACGAAACTGTTAATAACCCACAAAAGTGTAACCCACAAAAGTGTAACCATACCCCCTCTCACATGCTCTAAAGATCTTCACCTGGGTGTTACACAAGTATGCAGTAGCATATCAAATACGTAATACTTTTCCAACCAATTTAAGACTGGGTTGGGTTGTGTATATAACATCTCCAGTTTCATTCCAGTATGATAAGAGCCACCCTGTGTTTCTAATATGTGATTCAACAGAGAGTGGTTGTTACCTGTTAATAACCTTTGTTTTACCTTTTGTGTGATCACATTGCTTCCCATTTTCTTAGTCTGGACAAACAAACCAGCACTGTTCAAATACTAAGGAAACAAGAAGTTAAAGAAGTGCATATATTTACATTAAAGGGGGTGTATTGTATTAGGATTTAGTGGCAAAATTTTAAAAGTCCATGGATTTTAAAAGTTTAGGTGTATTCAATGTGGACTTTTAAAAGTCCACAAAAGTCTAGGTGTATTCAATGCGGACTTTTAAAAGTCTATAAAAGTCTAGGCGTATTCAAATTTCCGTTCATTCTTATTGACTTCTAAAATCATGGATTCTCGTGGACTTTTAACTCATTTTTAGTGCAAAAATTCTCTGCAATTGTCTCTTCTCCTCACCAAAGATTTCCGTGGACTTTTCTTATATCGGTTCTTCATCCCGTCCCACCCCATTCCTCCCCTCCCTCCTAGTGATGGACCGGGCCAGACCCGGTTTCTGTTCCGAGTCGGGCCCGGCCGGGCTTGGAATTTTTTGGGTAAGGCCCGGGACCAGCCCTGGTGTCTCCTGGTATCGGGCCGGGCCAGTTCCGGGTTGGGCCGGGCTGGTTCATTTTTTTTCGGTTTTCTTATATATTCCAACCCTCACCCCCCAAACCCCTCCAAAACACCCAGCCTACCTACCATAGGCCCAACCCCCCCCCCCCCCAAAAAAAAGAAAACAAATAAGGCCCGGACCGGGCCCAAACCGGCTGGGCTGGTCCTCAAATATGCAGTTCCGGAACCGCCCCAATTAATCCCCCCGGGTCGGGCCTAGGCCCGGTACCGGCCAAAATTCTCGAGCATTCTTAAAACTTTGAGTTTTTTTAATAAAAATAAATTTGAATTCTTATGCTTCATTTATTTTTGTAGAACTTTGTGTTGCTATATGAATTACATTTTTTCATTTATTTATTTATTTATTTATTTATTTATTTATTTATTTATTTATTTATTTATTTATTTATTTATTTATTGATTTATTGATTTATTTATTTATTTATTTATTTATTTATTTATTTATTTATTTATTTATTTATTTATTTATTTATTGATTGATTGATTGATTGATTGATTGATTGATTGATTGATTGATTGATTTATTTATTTATTTATTTATTTATTTATTTATTTATTTATTTATTTATTTATTTATTTATTTATTTATTTATTTATTTATTTATTTATTTATTTATTTATTTATTTATTTATTTATTTATTTATTTATTTATTTATTTATTTATTTATTTATTTATTTATTTATTTATTTATTTATTTATTTATTTATTTATTTATTTATTTATTTATTTATTTATTTATTTATTTATTTATTTATTTATTTATTTATTTATTTATTTATTTATTTATTTATTTATTTATTTATTTATTTATTTATTTATTTATTTATTTATTTATTTATTTATTTATTTATTTATTTATTTATTTATTTATTTATTTATTTATTTATTTATTTATTTATTTATTTATTTATTTATTTATTTATTTATTTATTTATTTATTTATTTATTTATTTACTTACTTACTTATTTATTTCTTATCGTACTCTGTATTATATAGAGGAAATCACTCACGGTAGGACTAAAACATAGCATTATTCTTAAAGTATGATTAAATGTTTGGTTTTTCTTAAATGGGAATAAATATTACATATTCACCCCTAATTTAATTAATTAATTAATTAATTAATATAATTAATTGTCTGTAGTTCTCTTTCACAACCAAAGCCATTTTGTTGGTGACGCGTCAGTCCGATGACGACAGCGGGGAACTCCGATGATGGATGCGGACAGGTCACAGGCATATCGGTAGCGACAATCTAGGTGAAAATTTTGATGACCAGCAGTGACGGTCCGCATTTAAAAGTCTATGGACTTTTTGAAAGTCAATAAACTTATCCATGGATTTAAAAGTCCATAGAATTCATTCATAAAAAAGTCTATGGATTTAAAAGTCCATTGACTTTTTTAAAAGTCCATGGATTAAAAAAAGTGCACAACAATCCATATTGAATACACCCCCCTAAAGCAATGAAAAAGGAAAAAAGAAAAAACAGGGCCTAATTATCTCAATGGAGTAAAATCTACCTATATCCAACAATAATGTATTCCAACTAGCAAAGAAAGATTGGATCTGCAAAACACGAATGAAAGTTGGAAGAATAAGACACACTATGTAAGTTATAGTTAGAAGTTTCATTGCTAGAATTAACTATTTGTCAAGTGTTTCAAGTAAGGCTAATATTGGTGCTAAAAATTGGTGCGGGGGGGGGGGGGGGGGGGTACTGCAGCAGATTTTTTTGTTATTCTTGGTTTTTTTTCCTACAAAACATCAAGGACAACCAAGTTTGATAAAATAAATTTTAGGTAAATATTTTTAATATTCTCTTCCACTTTATCAATTTGACGAGTATATTTCATTACTTCAAAATGTACAAAAAATATTTTCATTTATTCTTTTCTCTTCTACTTTTCTTTTATTACTTCTACGATTTTATGTTGAAAATGCACTTTAGATAACTTATAAAGTTAATCTGGGTATTTAATGAGAAGTCAAGTTAACTTAAAGTTAAACTTAGAAGCATTTAATGGGAAGACAAAGGAAGTAAGAAAATAAGAATATTAAAGATGCTTCGTTACTCATTAATGACATGAACACTAACTACTTACTCAAATTCAAATACTTTACATTCACTCTCAAACATTTTATCAAACACTTTATCTACAATTCACATAAACTTTGTAAGTTTATACACAATAAAATATATATAACTCTCTCAAAAAATTTATCAAACACTTTATCTGCCCTCCTACTTGCATGAATAGCATATCAATTAAAATTGACAACAATCATACGGAATATAAATTAAACAAAAAATTGAAAACTAAAGAACTAAATTACCTTAATGGGGATGGAAGATGGCTATTCAACTATATTACCTTGTAAACAGGTCAGGCCCTTGCATAACGAACCGAAAGCAGCCGAGCTCTTCTAGGTTTATAATTAAAACACCAGCAGCAAGCCGGTGTTGTAGAGGAGCTTCGACCTATTCTGTTCGCCTATAGATGGGTTGACCGTTGAGGAGCTTGGACCTGCTGTATCTTCTATCCTCGTCATTGTATGTGGTCGCGCTCTGACGCGCCGAGGAGCTTCAACGTGCTTTGTTAGAGTTCATCGCCAAGTCGCTTCAATCTGCTCTATTCGCGCGTC